TCTCTTGTTACTATAAATAATGTCACCTAGTTAGATTGTACTGTCAGCTTTGCAGTATGTAAGTTTAATAAAGCAAGTTGTTATATCAGACTATAAGAATAATCTTCTAACAATTTGAAAGGGAGATTAAACAGATACCTCTAAATATCAGATTAATATTTGCAGGTACTAAAGATTCAAATAAAGTGCATAACTATTGTAAGAAATTATAAGAATTAATCAGTAGTTCATTCTTGGTAAATAAGGTGGAACAGACACCTAATTGTAGCAGTTTGTTTAATATGAAATTGATAAAGTATTGATGCCATAGAGCAAGCATATAAATTGCTGATTATTATTATAATCTGAAACAAATTTTAACCTCTTGTAAGGTCTCTATATAACAGGACAGATTCTGTTTAGGGAGTGATGACTGAAAAATCTGTTTGATTCATGTCAGATTTTCCAATGGCAAAAATGCTGCTTTATCAACAATGTCTAAAAAAACTGAAGATTCCTGCTTAATGTGGAGTATGTAGGGAGTGCAGAAATGTATGTAAGCCAGGCTTGCTTCCAGTTAAACATCAGATTTGCTTCTAGTGCTAATTAAATGAATGAACTGAACAATTGCCTTGACAGTTGCTCTTTTGTTGATGTTTCTGTTGATATTAGATACAGCATAGTGGGTTTTTGAAAATTTTATCAGATACACAGTACCAGATGAAGTTTGATAGGGTACAGCCTGAAAAGTGATGAACTATTTCTGTGAGATAATGCTCATGTAGTGGGGAAAAGATAGGAAATTGGAATAGTGTTTTATAGAAAAGAATTCCTCTTCCATTTTTGGGGGACTAGATTTCTTATTTATTGACATTTATTTTGCTTTGGTCCAGTTATCTGATAGGGGATTTCTTATGTGTGTATATTCATTAACTTCTGTTTTTTCTTGATGAACATGAATTTAGATATGATTTGGTGGTTACTGTTTTTCTTTGCTTTTTAAGTATGACAGCTTTATTTGGATCTTTATTTTTTCATTAATTTGTAATGTAGTTGCTTATGCTTGGTTTTTGATATCCTACATATATGCATAATTAGGATAATCCTACATTAGTGATTATACAAATTTGAAATTATTTGTAAGAATATATGTCTTGATTACTTTTAAGGAAATTCTGTAGAAATAGTACATGACTTTAAAAAAGAAGGTAATTTATGTACAAGGAACAGTTTTAGTACTTAAAGATAAATAATGATCCTTTATGTTTCCCCATAAAAGAGATAGAATAACCAGTCAGCCATCAGCCATTTTTTTAGTGTTGGTTTAAAATTAGTAAATCATCATAGACTTCATTTTCTAAAGCAAGGACAATTGTTCTGGTTAAGTAGAAGAGAAGAAGTAGATCGTCTGAAGTTCTAGGCTCTTTGAGAAAAAAAGTAAAAAGATGGAGCTGGGTGATACCTTCAGAATTTTCCGAACGAGGATTGCTAGGTGAGAAATATTAATGTGCCATTTTCACGTAATGGCTTCTTTTTTGTTTTATTTTATATTTTATATTTTTTAATAGAACAACTCCCAATATGAATTTTTTCTTTGCCAATGTGAGGATGGAGTTGACGGCAGTCCTCATCACCAACAGAGAATGATTTGCTTGGAATATCTGAACTTAGTCTGCTTGAAAGCATGTGATTGTGATCTGGCAGGTTCATCATAGGAAGCTTGAGGTGACTTTGATGACTTTGCCTCCAAAGAGTTAAGGTTTTGCACATCTGAAAATTCATGCATTGAAGATTTGACGATTGAGGCAAAGTAAGGTGGTAAAGGCCAGTGCCCTACATTGGGGACTGGCAACAGAATTTTGACAGATCTAAGGACCTGAAATGTTAAGATAGGGTTTTTCATTCTTTTGTGATATTTTCACAGTTTATTACAACAATTTTCTATGGTATTATCACTGAATTCTTGATACTGTTATTAGAATATAGTATTATTTACAAAAGTAGAATATTTCATATTAATGTGTTTCATGTTAGGGCTTGATTTACTCAGCACATTTATATTTAAACAAGGATAAACACAAACATAGATGGACAAGCTCCTGTAATGAATTTCAGCCGCTTCTGGTCCCATTATTCAGGTTGCAGTACCATTGGCAGTTACTTAGTGAATAACACCTTGCTTTCAATATGTTTTTTATTTAGAAATACATTGTTTAACATAGATATTGTTTATCTATTTACAATTGTTGGTATGCAATGCTTTTGATAATCAAAATGAAATATTTCCCTTTTGTTCTTCCTTAGTCGTTTTGAAGTATGAGATTTCTCTACCCTACTGCTCATGCATACTTTGTAATGCACAGTTTCTATGCACATTAGTTTGAGCATTAGCAGTTATTGTACCTATTTTTAGTGGAAATGGCTTCTACTTGCCAGAAAATGCAAAGAAGGCAATCATTTGGCATTACCTGATTCTTGACTGTGGTTTTGCAAAAAAAAAAAAATCAAAAGCTACAATGTTAAGTAATTATTTACTAGATATTAGCTTTATGATCTTTTGATGACGCTTTACTGTAGAGGTTTTCCAAATTGCATTGATTTCTCAGTGTGAAATCTGAAAACAATTACCAGTACCAGTGTTGTGTTGAGAGAATGGGCAAGAAAAGAAAGATTTCTAGTGGTCATTTGAAACAAGTGTAAGCAAACTTCTTCAGCTCTAATTAGTAGCTCTAATTAGGTGTGTGATTTATTTTGTTATTTAGAGTCCAAGTTATTTTGAAAACACCCACCAAAATAACAGACAAGAGGAAAAGATAAAAGATTTAATACTATTCATGTGTCATCTTTACTTTGTTTTCTTGAATAGACACATCTTACTTTCCAAAAGTATTCTATTAATGCAATCTCTGCCATTTAGTAGTTGTAAAGCTAGATTTATTTATTTGTTTGTTTGTTATTATTTATTGTTTGTGCAACTTCTGGTCTGAACCTACCCATCCAAACTGACTGCTTTTTAAAATTTCTTTTGGTGGCACAAGATTCATGTAGATAGTATATACTTCTTTAAAGACTTTTGATATAGTGAATTTATGATTTGTTATATAGGTTGCAGTTAAATGTATATGTAGTTATTTGATATATGACAAATTGTGAAGTACATCATTGTTATTCAAGAATATTTATATATAGACATTTATTTTTGTTACACGTTACATCACAACTTTGATGTTTTTCAGGATCTTTTCATAGGCCAATGAATAATAAGGTTTATTTCTTAAAGTTCATTTTTGTGTGTGCATGCTGCATGTATTATTGTATGAACTTTGTTTTACAAACCTTGTAATCCATTCTTTCATGCCCTCTTTACTATGTTCCTTATCATCATTCCAGTATGTGTTACTACTATTTCCCTTCTCATTTTCCTCTCTGATATATCTTCGTGCATATCTTCATGAAATGCAACTTCTTCGTGGCCCTTATTGATATTGATAACTAATTACTAAATGATAATAAAAGTGAAATACTTTCATTAACTATATAACAGACTTCTTTATATTTTAGGAAAGGGTAAATATGAGCATATTACACTTTGAAATTTTTCAAACTGATTTGTTTTCTTTTTTATTTCTAGTGTTCTAGGAGGGAGTCTTGACAACCTTCCCAGCACAGTTTCTGTGAGAAGAAAGACATCGGCCCCAGCCAAAACCCTTTCTGGGAATTCCTCAACCAATAACTACGGCAAGAAATCATCTGTGACTATAAGTGCAAGAACGAGAAAGACATCCTCGTCTTCCTCAACTTCTTCAGGGAGTCCTACGGCACGGTGAGTTTTTGCAGTCCTTCTTCTTTCTTTTAACTTCTTCCATCTTCTTCTCTTTCTTCTTCTTCTTCTGTCTTCAGCAACTATTACTGCTACTACTATTAGTGATATTTTCATTGGTATTATTATGAATACTGGTTGATTTTTATTTTTTTTTATTTTTAGCATTTTTCTCTCAGTTTATCTTTTTATTATTGTTGATATTTCGTTTATATTGATTAGTATCTTGTTTTGATATTTTGAATTGTCTTTCAGTTGGTAATTCCTCTGTGTTGATTTGTATTATAATATAATTTATTTCTTTGAATTGACAGAATTTTTTTTTCAATTTATATGATATAAAGGTACAACTAGAAATTTATTGGAAAGGAATTGAACAAATTTTGTGTGAAGACACCATGTGTAATTTTTATTGCAAGATCGGTCGACCCTTTACACCTGTAGAACGTATGCCATTAAAAATTTAAAAGATAGTGGAAATTTGTTACAGTTATATAAACATGAAAAATGAATGATGAACTGCATTTATTATGGGTATTTCGGTAGTATATCTATTTTCCCACAATGTGATGCATTAAGCAACGCAAGAAACTCTTGGCATTTTACTTTATGGTGGTATATTAGACTTCAAAGATGTTACAGTTTTTGGGTAAGACAGGGAGGAAATTTGATGCATGATTTAGATTTACCATGGATTTTCATGTCTGTTCAGAAAAGAAAGAAATTAATAGGGCAATATGGCTTATGAATGCAAACAAAAGATTCCACTATCTTATCAGTATGGCACAGTTATCAAGGGAGATGATAAGATTTCTCTAGATATCACAAGTGGTTAGTTTGAAGATGTCAGTACAAATGCTTGTCATAGTTTATACTGGTCTAGTGTTGAAAAACATAGAAGACTTAGTGGTTCTAGTTTACAGATGAATGAAATTATGTTACTGGTTTACCAAGAATGAATTTCCTGCTGCTCGTAATAGCTACTATTATTTTGGCAATTGCTCTTTATGAGAAATCAAGGTATGTTGGGAATGGTATTGCTTTGTATTGGTGAGTAAATTTTTGAAGACTGGGAATCTTGATTGAAATTGTCGCTATTTATGCAGCATTTACTTTTAGGGATCAATTTTAACAATAGTACATATATCATAATAACAACTACTATCAATGTTTTTAATTTCTTCCCCGTCTTTGTCTTCCT